GTTCAGGTAGTTTCCTTGGATCGGTTGAATATGTAGGAAAACCAGTAGATTATAACCCACTTGAATGCGTGTTCTCTTAGTTTCTACATTACTCACTTTTGTTTATGATTAATGGGTAGTGGTGATTTTAAGCAATTCTTGTGACATTTGATTTTGTGACCTCTAATTCAACATTTGGCCTGGTTTTGTGTCTTTTTTTTCTTTTCTTAAAGGCTTTCATTTTGTACTGTTTCATATTGGATCTCAAATTTGAGGATATTCTACTCTATATGCGGGTTTAGTGTTTTTTTCTCGTCAGGGATTCTCATGGCAATGCCATCGGGAAATGTGGGTGTTTCCGATAAAGTTCCGTTTCAGAGCAGTGGCGGAGTTGCGGTGAGCGGTGGTGAGATCCATCAGCACCGCCCCCGCCCCTGGTATCCTGATGAGCGTGATGGGCTTATCTCATGGTTCCGAGGCGAATTTGCTGCTTCGAATGCGATCATTGATGCCCTTTGCCATCATTTGCGTGCTGTGGGAGAGCCTGGGGAATATGATGTTGTTATTGGGTGTATACAGCAACGGCGGTGCAATTGGACGCCGGTGCTTCATATGCAGCAGTACTTTTCAGTGGCAGAAGTGATGTTTGCACTTCAGCAGGTCACCTCTAGAAGGCAGCAGAGGTTTGTTGATCCTATGAAAGTGGGGTCGAAGTTGTTTAGGAGACCTGGGCCAGCATTTAAGCAGCAGCATCAGCAGGATCAGCAGCATGGCCATCGCCTTGAAGCCACAGTCAAGGAAGAGATGGTCACTTGTGCGGAGTCTTGTAATGGTGGGAATTCTTCAAGTTTTGTAGGCTCTAGGAAGGTTGAGCAAGTAAGTAATACATGCGAGGAAAGTAATGCAACGGGGGAGGATGGTAAATTGAATGATAAGGATTCAGGGTCAGCTGAGGACATAAAAGGTAACCTTTTGTTCCACTATCAACGTTTGATCGTGCATGAACTTTATTTTCGGCTAAATTAGAAGTTTAGTTCATGGACTGTGTCTAATTGGATGGTGAACCTTAAAAGTTCAAGTTTGTAAAGTTTAGGGACCTAGAGACATTGGGTCAAACTTGTTATTCAATTTTAAGGATTGACTTTGAGCGTAACAGATAAGCTTGTTAAAATAGCAAAATACACTTGTTTCTTCATATTATAATCTATTATTAAAGGGAAAGGAACAAATAGTAAAATGTATTTGGTGTTACCTGTACAAGGCATTGCCCTGTTTTGCATTGATTAAGAAAATTTAAAACAAAAAGGAAGAGACATGTTGATTGTATGATCTGTGTGTCTTTTGCGTTACGTTTATGAACTGATTTTATTGTATTAAATGTGTTATAATTTTACATGTTGCTATCAATAACTACGTTTAGGACTAGGGATAAGATTGTAGAAAAGGTGAGATGGTACTTTTCTTTAACCCCAAAAATCTTTGCTGCATGGCACATATGGTTGATATGTTTGGATGTGATAAGCTTCGGAAAGTCCCATCTAAGGAAATGAAAAAGTCCAAGCTTTCATCCACTTCCGATTTTAGTTCTACTTTATATTTTGCAGTGGTTCACTGAAATGTACATGATTCTTGTTATTTCTATTTCATTCCTAGAGGTTTGAATTACTTCAGCTATATATTGTGTTATTGAAAATAGGAGTACATCTTAATTTTGACAAGCTTGTTTGTTGGGTAGACACTCATGGGAAGGACCAAAGTAATAGCAAACCCAAGTGTGCAGAAAACTTAGAAGACAATGCAAGCAATAAAGAATCTCAAGTTGAACCTACTGATGATGGATGTTCTTCAAGTCAAAGAGGCGAGTACTTGCTCCTTAAATCATATTTGTAGTTGATCTAGTTAGAAACTACAAACAATTGTATCAGAAATCATTTAATTTAATTTTGCTGCTTTAGCCCACTTGTAGTGGAATTATCAAAAATATATTTTTTACCAATGAAAGGGCATCATTATAATCTGTTATCAACCAACTCTTTCCCCAGATAAGGGGCTGCAGTCTGTTCAAAGCCGGAACGCAAGGCAGTATGCTGCCACAGCCCCAAGAACCTTTGCTGCCAATGAGATATTTGATGGAAAGACGGTATAACTGTTTAATTTTATCCTGAATTTGGTTCTTGGATTGGTTGTTGTGGGATTCTGTGAAGGAAAGAGTCTTTCACATTTAGCTTGACATGGTAGGCTGATTCACTTCTTATTATTTTATTCTTCTTCTACTATAGGTTAATGTGATGGATGGATTGAAATTGTATGAAGAATTATTGGATGATATTGAGGTTTCAAAGCTTCTTTCATTGGTGAATGATTTGAGGGCTTCGGGAAAGAGAGGGCAACTCCAAGGCAAGTTCTTGTTCTTTTTAGCTCAGCTTGTGACTATATTTATGTTACTTTAAGAAAATCGATATCTTCTTTTTAATAAAGGAAGTTATCAAAATAAATTTCAACTAATATGGGTTTTGTGAAGGTTTATCCAATTGTGAACCAGATGACAATTATATTACATACAGCCTCGAGATAGTGAATTTAAGAATGGGAACAATCACTTAAATGTGGTTGTTGGAAACATTGTAACCTTGTGCTCACTGTTTTCTTTCTTTTTGTTGAGAATCTAATGAACTACTTTCATATCTTAGTACCTCACAATTATGCAAGTGAATGCTACATAAATATGGACAACTTTTGTATATTGCGTAATTTTCTTAAACTGAATAATACTGTATTTTTCTCTGCCACAAAATCAGGTCCGACATATATTGTCTCGAAAAGACCGATGAAGGGTCATGGGAGAGAGATGATCCAGCTAGGCTTCCCGATTGCAGATGCAGCTCATGATGACGCCAATTCTTCAGGGCTCTCAAAAGGCATTTACCATTATCTTTGATTTGGATTGCAATTTTTTAAATTTAGTTGAGCTATATAGCAATAAAAATATATGCTGATGTTAGTTTCTGTTCGATGTAGTATTTTAAATCTCCATTTTTTGTGAATTTTACAGATAGAAGAATAGAATCCATCCCCTCATTGCTTCAAGATCTCATTGATTGCTTGGTTTGGGAGCAAGTGATGACAGTGAAACCCGATTCCTGCATCATTGACTTTTATAACGAGGTCACTAATCGCCTACCTGTTTTTTTTTTTTTTTTTTTTTTTTTTTTTTTTTTTTTTTTTTTTTTTTTTTTTTTTTTTTTTTTTTTTTTTTTTNCATGCAAAGAGTACTGAAGTTGAAGTGGGAGTGTAAAATGAGAGAGAGAGAGAGAGAGAGAGAGGTGGGCTCAAACATGGTCAAAGCTGAGTAAAAAAGCATAAAAATTCCTCGGATTCTGTCTGATTCTTTGTCTTGTTTTTGTCACTCTCTTTACTTCCATTTTGAATCACCCAACACAATATAAGGCTTTTCCCTATGCCTTTCTACCCCTTTTTTTTTTTTTTTTTTTTTTTTTTTTTTTTTTTTTTTTTTTTTTTTTGTTGCAAGTTTTCATCAGTGTATGGTGTAGACTAATATTCTTATTGGTTGATATCCTCAGGGTGATCATTCTCAGCCTCATGTCTGGCCACCATGGTTTGGGAGGCCTGTTGGTGTCCTCCTTTTAACTGAATGTGAAATGAGCTTTGGTAGAGTACTTGGTTCAGACCATTCTGGCAATTATAGAGGGGCTAAGACATTGTCTCTTGCACCGGGGTGGGTAACTATTTTATTCTCAATCTGCATATTTCTCTGAACCTTCTTTCATCCTCTGCCTCGTATTTACATTTTTTCTGTTTACTTTTACTTTCTTATGTTGATCATCCTCTTCCTGATATGTACTGTCTGTGTTTCATTGTAAAACACAGGAGCCTCCTTGTGGTGCAAGGAAAATCTGCAGATTTTGCTAAGCATGCAATTCCTGCTATGCGCAAGCAACGGATACTTGTTACCTTGACCAAATCACAACCAAAAAGAGCAGGACCAGCTGATGGGCAACGCACATCTTTGAATTTAGGTTCATATTCCAGTTGGGGCCCTCCATCAGCTAGATCACCCAATGCTCGTCCTTGCCCGGGACAGAAGCATTACCCTATGGGTCCATCGACAGGCGTTCTACCTGTGCCACCCATTCGTCCTCAATTGCCACCACAAAATGGCATCCCACCAATAATGGTGGCTCCTGTAGCACCACCACCTATGCCTTTCCCTCCTTCCGTGCCAATTCCAACGGGTCCACCTGCATGGCCTGCTGCTCATCCAAGGCATCCTCCGCCACGTCTCCCTGTTCCTGGCACTGGAGTATTCCTTCCTCCAGGTGCTTCCAGTGCTCCATCTCCTCAACAGATGCCAAACTCCGCAGTGGAAACGAGTTCCCTTGCAGAAAAGGAAAATGGTCCGACGGAATCTGATCACAATGGAGGTGCTTCTCCAGGGGAAAAATCTGAAGCAAAACCTCAAAGACAAGAATGCAATGGAAGCATGGATGGAAGTGGGAGTTGTAAGAAGACGGAGGAAGAACAACCAAAGCAGCAGCAGGAGGAGGAGGAGAAAAGTGAGAATGTGGAGGCCCAAAATGCAGGAGGTGGAGAAGCTTAAAGACGGAGAAAAATGCATTACTTAAAGAGAAAAAGAAAAGAGAGAAGAAAAGCAGGTCGGCTGCAGACTTGAATGAGTTAGTCACAAGCAAAATGTAGATAGCGGCAACATTCAAAGACTGATACTACCATCAAACTGCTACTACCATCAAACTGCTACTACCATCAAACTGCTACTACCATCAAGGAGAACAAGGGGAGTTCCCTTTCAAAATCCTTTACTTCATTCCTTTTTTGTGTTGTCCAAAACAATTCTTGGTTAGATGGGAAAACTCATTCCTAATGCCACTTTGGATATTATCTTCTTCTTCTTTAAGAGAGATTTGAAAAGTCACAGTATTCTATACTTTCCAAATGTAGAAACATAACTCTGGTATATCATGGATTAAGATTAACCACACTCTTTAACGTAATTTCAAAGACTTCCATGAAGTGGAACGGATAGCACCAGCATTAGCTAACTGACTACATATTGATTTTGTTTTGAGACATCAAAAGCTTGGGTGTTTATACAGATTTTCGGGTTCATTGACTTGTCTTTCTATCTCATTTAATTTATGTTATTTGAAGTAAATTCACAAAAAAAAAAAAAAAAAAACATAAATCATCATTAAAAAAAAAAAAANTAAAGTCAACAACCACCTATAACATCAATGGAAAATCCTAATGGTGTTAACTATACATACTAAACAAACCGCATGAAACACATCTGATTCCTAAATAAAATCTATACTCCTCCAACTGTCTCTATATTTTTATACACAAAAAAGAACAGACCCATCTAAATCAAACAGCCGGAAATTATTGCCCCCCCCCCCCCCCCCCCCCCCCCCCCCCCCCCCCCCCCCCCCCCCCCCCCCCCCNAACTCAGCCTGGCTAGAGTGATGGTGTTTCCCACGGTGGTGGTGCCGCCGCCCTTTTCCAAATGTTACAGGGTCAAACTTTCGAAGTCGCTCGGCTTCTTGAGGTACAATGACACATTCTGCTGGAGGGATCTTGTATCGAAGACGATCATAGCAATATGAGTACGTCATGTGCTTCCTCCTGAAACTCTCCATTTTTCTTGTTTTAGCAGTTGTGATGTCATTGGGGATGGTGGCTTCGGAGTTCTGTGTAAGGTCGTCGCACTTGGAGAAGTGCAGATCAATCGGATCGACTGTGCAACCATGCAATACAAATTTGGAGAACTGGGCGACATAGGGTGCATATTTGTAGTTTACCTTGTATTTGCCTCCATTGGTGGCCCAGCCTGAACCATCCCAAATTGTTGCATACAAAGTCATTGGCTTGGATGGAAACTCACCGCCCATTGAAGCTGTTCTTTTAACTTCTCTTATAGGAACTTCATCCACATAAAATCTTCATATGACAAAACAGTGGAAGCATTCAGCAGTATATCAATGATTCATTCTTTTTACAAACTAGTTGAATGAACATTCAGAACATCTGAAAGCTTAGACACCATTGTAACAAAACATATGAAAGTTTAGGAACCAAAAGAAAGAACAAGTTTTAGAACATCAATAAAAACAGCCGGCACCGAACAAACCATAGGGGGAGGAGGGAGCAAAAAATCATTTTCTTTCTGAATCTAATTTCCAAATGGCTAATGGCACTGGAAAAACATCATTAAAAGAACAAAACAAAACATGGGAGATTCCAAACTCTCTGAGAAGAAAAAAAAAACATATGAAATAGCTTACATAATGACAGAATCAGTCCAAAGAATGCTGTACTGATGAAAATCTTCAGCTGGATCAAACCAAAGACCATATCTTTCTTCTCTGCCAACGTTGGTGCTTCCATTGCCGTAAAAGTTAGTCTGAACCCTCCATTCTTTTCCTCTGATATTCCCTAAGAACTCGAAATCGATCTCATCGTGGTTGTTCTCAAACATATCGCCATTCGACATCTGTCATCCCACAGTTACTCTATTGAGTTACTAACCCCAGTTACTAACATTTCCGCTACATTTTAACAAAATTCTGAATAAATTACCCCAACAACTGAACAAATTCAACTCAACTTACAGGTTGAGTCCAACGTCCAATTCACTGCAATGGAAGTTAAAATTTTAACCTGAACAACTAAGAGTATGTTTGGGATTTGCTATAATTCTCTCCAAAAACACTTTGAACACGAAAAGTGTTTGTTAGGTGCCCTATGCTTGTGTCTAAGAACTGAAGTGTTTGTTAGGTAACCCCTTAAAAGCAATGTATTTAATCACATTTAAAAACTCTGAAAGTGTTTGTTGGATGAGAACTTAAAACCATTTTCAGAGGGTAGAAACAAGTATTAAAATGCGATATTTCTTATAATAATAATAATAATTAAAGGGAAAATAAAAAATAAAAAACTGCTAAAGGTTAAGTTTTAAAAGATCTTCCATATTAATACCCCTGAAGTAAGTTGTGTTTAGTAAGTTCTTTATCACAACCCTAACACATTAACAGCCCCACTAATACACACGGAAAACAGAGTGAAAGAATACAGAACAAAATCAAATGAAGAGAAACACCCATATTGTCAAATCATGAGAAACTCATGGATTGAAACAGTTAAAGATTATTAAGAACTTAAACAGAGTACACTTCAACCCATTTCCATTTCCAGAAAAAAAAACCCAATGAATTCCAATTTCCATACTCACATAAAAAGCAACCACAACACCAGCAGAGTAATCCGCAGGCAATTTAATGGAAGCACTGAAGAACCCATGAAGATAAAGGTCCTGGGACACAAATCCCGCGCCTGAAAGAAAAAAAAAAAAAAAAACCCACATTAAAAAACCAGCAACAAAGAGAGAAAATGAAAGGGAAGTAAGAAAGAGAGAAAGAGAAAACCTGTTCGTTCATCTAGATGCAGATGCACCGATTTTCCATCCTTGAGAACAAGGAGATTGTCATCGCCGAACAAGTGGGTGTAGGCTTCGTCGAAGAAGAGGATTGGAAGATTTGGAGGGGAAGAAGAAGAGGGAAGGAGGAGAAGAATGAAGGAAAGGGGAAAACAGAGGAAGGAGAAGGAAGAGAGAGCCATGGGGAGAAAAGAAGAAGAGAAAAAGAGGGGTGGGAAAAGAGGGAAGAAAATGGGTAGAAAAAGGTCGCAGAAGAGCAGAAGAGGCGCTTTGTTGGCGTGTAATGTAAGTGGAAGGGAAGGGCAAGCACCGATGGAACCAAAAATGTCTTCCTTCAAAAGATGCTTCAAAATTCCTGTTTTTATATAATTTAAATTTCGTTCAAATTTACGTACTCAAGTATAATATATTTTGGTGTAATTTCAGAAACATGATGCCTTACAATTATTTCTCAACAAAACAGTGGTTAGAATGCATAATTTTTGGAGAAACGATCATTTATGTTTTAATATATATATATAAGAATGCATTAAAAATAATAAAATAAAAAACTCGTATTGGGTGAGGAGTAAGTCCAGTAATTTAATTAATTTCTTGAAAAGACGTGATCAATAGTCGAAGCAATGTAAATGAATATATATTATATGGGAGTGTATGTTATAGGTGACTTTTTGAAATGAATATGTATTAAATTAAATATATATTGGAGAATAGGGTATATTTTGAAGGATTTGCAACGTGTCAATTGAGGTCGGACATTTGTAAGGCGCACCGCCTCCGTACTCCTGCTGCGGCTTCATTGTCTTTCTTTTTTCCCCTTTACTCAAAATTTAACTACCTTTGCCTTTATCGATTCAGTAAGATTAATAGTAACTAATAATGATAATAATAATGGGAAACAGGCGTGGGGACTTCGGGTTACTTGCTACTACGCGACCGTCCACTGCCACAACGCGGGTGGCAGTGGGCGATTGCGATGATGAACGTTGAACCTCTCCCCCACCACGTATTTTGTTTTTTTCCTTCTTTCTTTTTCGGATAAATAAGCAATATAAATAAGAGAACAAGAAGAAGTAGCCGTTAGAGACATCTGGCGTGTCCTGTGTCCTGAGTCCAGTAACGGAGTGGGTCCCACGCAGAATCTCGAAAACCACGGCTCTACAAATTTCACAAATTCCTCTCTTCCCCTTTTTAATTATTGATTTATTCACCACCTTAAAACACTGGGTTTTCTTGTTTTTTCCCCTTTTCTTCTCTTTTTAATCCTCCTGTACTTCTTAATTTTAAAAACTGGTCTTCCTTGCAGTACCTGATCTGAAAATTTATTGATTTATTTAAAAGTTCAGAATTCAAAAAATTCACAAAATACACAGATAAAATTTTTATTTATTTTCAGAATATGTTATATTCGATATCAATAAATTATCACTCAGACAGTGCCTGGTGGAAACAAAGTAGGGCTCCACATCTCCTTGTCTGTTGTATATCCGCAGTTCCATGAATTTAATACAATTTTTGCATCTACGTTTAATATATAATATATTATAATACATATTGCTTTTTCTAAAAAAAACTTTGATGTAATTTTTTGTTTCTTTCCTTCTTTTTATTTTATAATTTCACTATGCATTCAAACATTTTCTAAACATAAAGAAAAAAACAATATAAAGAAATGGTAATAAAACGCACCATTTTCCAAAATAAACAAAAAACAAAAACCAATACTGACCTTTCAAGTTTGTATTTAATGAATGGTTGACCTACTAATTAGTATTGTCTAAAATTTATAATTTTGTATTTAATACATCTACAAATTTTTTTAAAAACATATTTGAATATTAAAAAAAGAAAAAATAGGGATACAATGCTATACGTGAAAAGGCCTTTTAGTAAACCAAAAGCCCATGATAGAGAGTTACATAAATAGAGGCCCACGAGCATTTAAACAAGGTAGACGACATGTCGTTTTGAATAGGATAGCAGTTCGTCAATGTTATAAGCTCGAAGCATTTTGTATATGAGATGATTAAAAGTTCTTCCACGCGGAGAGCTGCCGGCCTTAGGCGGTGGGTTTTGCTTTGGCTTTGGCTTTGGTTGTCGTTGATTGTGATAAACAAAGTTGAATCTGAGACATCAACATAGTATATATCCATGCATATGTATATATATATGCCTCCCAATCCAATTCTTCTCAACCTCTCATTAATATATACAGCCTTTTTAGGCCATTACAATGGCGTTCAAACGAAACTTCAACATAATGGCGAGGCCAGTCACTTTGTTGGGTCATTTGGTGGCCATATCTATCGCAGTCTTGATTCTTGTATGGATCCTCCATTTCAGAGAAGGGGTTGCTTTCAAATCAGATAACAAGCTCAAGATTCTAAATGTACTTCCTTTCTTCTATAGTTTTAATTAGCGGTTTCACAAGCGAAGGTTTGATGAATTTTTCATTCTTGTTCTTCAGCTGCATGTGCTTTTAATGGTGATTGGACTCATCCTATTTGGAGGGCAAGGTAAGGGAAATTACTAATGATTTGAAGTCAAGAATAAATCTTAATAATATTTATGGTTGGGATATGGCGCAGCTATAATGGCATACAAGTCAATACCAGCAAAAAAATACTGGAGAAAAGTGGTGCATTTGGGGTTGCATGCAATAGCATTAGCTGCTGCAATTTTTGGGATTTGTATGAGTTTCAAGTTTCACCGTGACATCCAGTTGAAGAATCTTGTTTCTTTGCACTCTTGGTTTGGTTTGATCACCGTTTGCTTGTACGGTCTACAGGTTCGTCGTCCCAGCCATCTCCCTCTTTCCAGACTTTGATATCTTTTCTTTGCTAATTATTATGATGTTGATACGCACAGTGGGTAGTGGGCTTCTTTGCGTACTTCTTCCCCGGAGCAGAATCAAGGAGGAGAGCCAGCTTAATGCCATGGCACGTTTACTTTGGAATATTCGTCTTCTTAATGGCAACCTGCACTGCTGAACTAGGGCTGCTTCAAAGCTTGGACACTTGGTTTTTGTTAGGGCACACCCAAGAAAACCTTATCATCAACTTCACTGGTCTTCTCATTTTTCTCTATGCGGCCACGGTTGTTCTCACTGTCATTCTTCCACCCCTTTATTAGAAGAGTAGTCCCTCCTTAATGTTGCTCAATCGCTTTTCAAATTCATTTTCTTATATCTTTATATTAAATGGTGTATGGTTGCTTCAGATAATAAACTTTTTTATTACTCCGTTGTGTCCCATTGTAACTCTTTTGATACCCCTACCTACTCAGAGGTTACTCATAGGTTAAATCAAAACTAATCCGCAACTGATCCATCCTGAAAAAAGCTTCCAATTCCATGAGCCTAATGAATGGAGAAACGATTGCAAAACCATAGACAGACCAGACAACTCAAAAATTGGGGGAAACTTATATATAAATTAGTGTTAAATCAAATTTTGCCATCTCCTTCCATAATCGAATCCAATCTTGAAAAAAGATAATAACATCGTTAATACATTCAATTTTATAGAACCTTTAACCTTGATGCTTGAAATACCGATTCAATCAGCAACAAAGCTGTTTGATTATAATTTGAGCATTCTACGGCAAGGTTCTAAAAAACGATCATCGCACAAAATCAATCACTCACAAACTACACTCTAAACGTACAACTGCATTTTTGTTAGATCTTTCAAAAAATTCCTTACATTCTAACACCCAATCCAGATTCAGAATTAATTTCACAACGTACAGAGAACATGAGATACAAAATGTAATGGCGTATGGAGGCGGATGAGTGTAGAAGATCGGAACGAGGACAAACTCAGAAAAGAAAGCTCTTAAGAGCTACAAATCTGAAGCGATTCCATTCCAAAGCACTTCAACCGTACTATGATACCATTTGGAAATTGCTGTTGAGGGCTAGAGAAGCAGGGCAACCTGCAGAGAACCTACAGGTTCTTCAGAGCCACCGATGTTAACTGCTCTCCCCTTTAAATGCCTCAGCCCTCTATCGATTTCTCGATTATTCAGAATGGATTGAATGAAATTAAGAAAGCCTAAACCCTAATGCGAAATGAAAAAGATGCAAATTTCTAAATTTTACCTGGATGTGTCTCGAGGTATAGGAAGTCTTAGGAGGCGGAACCCTAAATGACCTTACGCCCCTATTTATAGCCAAGGGCGAGGCTGTGGGGTTGGCTTTAAAAAAAATAATAATAATAAAAAATAATATAATTGATAAAAATACACCCAAAATAAATCAAATGTTTTAATTATACCCTTAAAAAAAGAAAAAAAATCATTTACATATCTATGACGCTAACAAAATTTTATTTCTTAATCTGTAAAACATATCAATTTTGAACATTTGCAAGTCAATTAATACTTGATTTTCCATTTAAATTGTTTTTGCTTAGATTTCAATTTTTCTTTTCCCTTTCAATTGTTTCAAAATAGACAATATTTGTTAGTAGTGAATTTTAGTTGTTATAAATGATATCATAGTCAATCATTAGAAGGTGCAAGACATTGATCGGAATAGGGAGAGACTCTCTCTATAGTACATACATTTTAAAACCTTGAGGAGAAGTATAAGATGGAAATTTTTTTTTGCTAGCGTTAGGATTGAGCCGCTAAAAATAGTATCATAATTAGACGGGGGACAATGGGCCTCTAATAATATTAAGCACCCAAGGGAGGTGAATTGTAAGATGCCATATTCATTGGGGAGAAAAATAAAGCATTAATTGTACAATTTTTTTTTTTTATTTTATTTTTAGAAAACTGGTTTGAAAGCCTTGAATAGAAATTTCAAATAATGCTAGAAGTTAAAATAATTCAATAATAATAATAATAATAATGAGAATTAAAAAAAAGCCAGAAATATATATAAAATCTAGAAAAAGAGAGAATCTAGAAATTAAATGTTAAATTATTGACGACGATTCATACAATAAATACTACATTTTAATGCAATTCAATGCCATAGGGAAGGGCAAAAATAAATAAATAAATAAATAAATAAATAAAACACAAAGAAAGTTGGATTAAGTAATGATTTAGGTTTTGAGGATTAGAAAGAGAGACAGTAGTATTTGAAACTTAAGAAATATAAAGGTAAAGGATATATGGAGACATTTTGCATAATTGAAGCCTAAAGGAGCTGGATCGTCGGCTGCGGCGCCGAATTGAGAAAAGCATTCAGACAAAATGGGTCCAATGGCCTTCCAATGTGTTTCCATTATGCCTTTTGTGCTGTTGTTGCTTTTACGTACCCCCTACCTTCCCTCTGCTGCCTACAACAATGGATATCATATCATTCTTGATCGTTTTAAGCACTACCCCCTCTAAAGCATGCCCCATTTTATCATGGTTTTATGATTTGTCCATGTTTTATAGGTTTCGACTATTCAAGATGCTGCTCTCTAATTTCATGCTTACATTATTTCAAATTGTATAAAGTTTCAGGTCAAGTACACTGTGTTTAAGAACCAAAACACACCTTCCAAGAGTAGAGAAGAACTAGACACAATCCATATCCAATTTCAAACGTAGGCACAAACAAAGCACCCCCTTATAGACTAGACAGGATCTATATAATTATATATATATATATATTTTAATATGACTATATGTGTATCTAAAATTAAAACGCCGAAGAAAAGAAGATAAAACAAAGAGAGTGAATCACATTTTGATTAAGGTGGAGCGATGATTCCGCATGAGGGGGGAAAAGAAAAAAAGAAAAGAAAAGAAAAGGCAATAATGGGCAGCGGCCGACCAGCTTAAACGACAATGCGGGTCTTGTCGAGGGTGGTAGTGGTCACGCGCTCGCAGCGTGGACACATTGTGAGGTTCGACGCCGGCAGCGGCTCGCAGCTGTGAGGAGAAATCACCGTGGGCGGCGCCACCTTCATCGCCCTCAGCTCCTCCACCTCCTTCTGCAGTTTCTTGTTTTGCTCCGTCAGTAGGCCGAACCATCTCTTCAGATACTCGCACTCCATCTCGGTCTGCTTCAGCTTGCTCCTATGAATAATTAAATGTAAATCAATTAATGGAGTGATTATGGATATATTATTTTGTTCTTAAATTCACACCCAAATAAATGCTTAATTTAATACAAAAGGAAAAGTAAATGCAATAATAATATAGTTTGAAAAATAGTATGTTGTGACTACAAAAAATACGAATAATTGTGGGTAACAAAAAAGATATATGAAAGTGAAATAAATGCCAATTGAAGCCCTTTTACATGAAAGACAAGAACATCATTATTGTCTTCTTGGATTCTAATTATTACCCAACCAAATTAAATGGTGTACGCAAATTTACTTTAATCACCTTATTTTCACTTCATCTTTGTACCCATAATAGGCTGACACAATAATGAGTTGTAATGGCTTCGAAACTTGAATGATTTTAATACTCGGAATCCAACGCATAGGAGAATTAGATATGCAAATGTTGAGCTGATACACATATGGGTAAGGAAAAAGATGGAATAAAAAATATAATATGATATGCATATGGGTAGTGAAGGCACACACACGAGGCGGCGAGGGGGAGCAGCCTCGACATTGTATGTGTTATTGAAATATTTAAACTCATGGGGAAACCACATCATAACTCGTTCATAATTTTGCTCACCTATTGTCGCTTGGTGGCGTTGCATATCTTACCCCATAATTCCATTATTATTATTTTATGGAAGCGGACACCATTATGTTATAGTTTAATTAACAACACTTGTTTGGATTATCCCTATTCCTTCTCTTCTTTGGATTCACTTTGGATTAACTCTTTCTTTGTTTATGTTTTGAGCTGAATTCAAAGCACTCACATACTATAATTATTCTACAATTATCGTATTTTTTTTGTTAGGTTCTGAAGAATTACAATAGAATGTTTGAAGAAGACTTAAAGAATCAAAATCCATGGAGAATAGAGTCACCAAAACATGCATAGGATATAAGTTGATTCACCTGGCCCTTCGGTTCTGAAACCAAACCTCAACCTGCCTTGGCTTCAGCTTCAACACTTCCGCAAGACTCTCCTTTTGTTTCTACCAAAAAAATGGAGGAAAAAACGCTGCAGCTCAAATAAAGAAAAGAAGAAGAAGGGAAGGGAGAGGTTTGAGAATTGTAGTACTGGGTTTAAGGTATGGTTTTGTCTGAAGCTCTGTTCAAGAAGATGGGACTGTTCCTTTGTTAAACGCAGCTTCTTCCTTGGATGGCTTCCACTGTTGTTTTCTTCATCTTCCTCCATGCTTCCCATCATCCATTCCTCTTCATCTGGCGCTCTGTTCATGTCCAAATCTCGCACCGCTGCAACCAATAATCGCTACCAAACTCAAAAACTCAACCCATTACACCTTCAATCATCCGTTCAAAACTTATAACACGAAACATCATATACTTAAAATCACTACTAAAAATTAAAAAAAAATTACTCGACATCGTACGATGTATTTAATCCTCTATCCGTACTCTATTAAGAGAGAAAAAGATCCGAGTTGAATTAGATTGAGGAAACGAAAGATGGTGGTGTACCAGATGGAGGAAGTGGTGATGATGAGAATGAAGTGAGGCCAGGTACGGAGATGGTGAGATCCAATCTTGAAGAGTTGGTTGGTAGAACCGCCATGGAAGTCTGTTGATGAAGCTTTGCAAACCAAAAAGAAGAAGAAGAAGAAATAGGCAGTTTTAGGAGGTGGGAGAGGAGAGAGAGAGAAAGGTAAAGTAGAAAAAACACAGAGAGAAAACTACGGAAGTGGATGATGAAAATTGAAGATCCAAAAGGTTAACTCAAATATAGATGTAAACGGCAGATCAGCAGACAAATAATAACAGAAAAGAAGCACAACCAAAAAAAAGTTCACAACCTTTTCAACTTTTTTTTTAATTTTGTTTTGGTCCCTAAACTCGAATTTTGTATACAAAATTGATTTTGGTTTGGGTGTTCAAAATTTTAGGGTTTCAATGACTTTGATTATACCAATGGAAGATGGACACGTGTAAAAAGTTAGGGGAAAATGTAAATAAAATAATGAAGGTTGTGTAGGGTGGCGTCAAGCCAGAAAGTTTGGTTGTGGGTTCATGTAGGAAGAGATGAAATGATTGAGCAGCCAAGCAGTTTGGAGGTGACGATCAGGAACCCCTTTTTCCATACATTACACAAGCAACAATGCATTATTGATGAATACAATGTGAAATAACGCAGATTATATTATATGATACACAGTTATTGGGCCCTAACTCCTAATTATTTGAGAATAACACATCGTGAACATCAAACCAGTTTGGTTTGGTGTAGAATTAGATAGATATGACGATCTCTTCTTCCACTGTGCGGTTCAGGCTTCATATGAGTATCTCTCTTTCTGTTTGGGTTGATAGGGAAGGGCACGAACAGATATCAGGTTAGGGACCATAAACTCTTCATTCTTAGAGTTATCCATACTCTTAGAAGATCAAACAGTTAGTCAGTCTTTACTCAATTGGCCACAGTTTTTAACGGAGAACTCTCGAGGACCTTTTTCTTCTCAAATTGATTTTGGTTTTTAGATTGGATCTTTAAATCCTACCATAACTAAAAACTCATAAAATTTAAATATAAAATATTTACCCCTCACCAACTTTGTTACCACATTAAATTAAATATTTATCGTATATCATAGATACTGAGTTTGTGACCTTTTGTTATTCCTTTTACAGATTAGATTCTTCCTTCCCTCACTCAAAACTTGTTCTCTGCCCATTACTCTCTCACTTTCTCTCTGTCTTTAAGTTCCTATATTCTCTCTTCCCTAACCTTTCTTATGTTTTTGTTGTAAAGCAATGAATAATCAAAAACAGGCTTCCTTTTTGTGATTCCATGATTGAACTTTTGGCAAACTCGCAAGATTCTTTCTTCTTCCTATGGGTTTCCTCTGGTGTTGTTAATAAAGCAATGTGAAACATAGAGAGAAGGAGAGAGGCGAAGGCAGCAAAATCAAAGGGTTGCAGTATGGTTTCAACTCAGAATAACTCATCCATTGCTGGAAACGAGAGGGCAAGTGTTCCAGAATTGGAAGTTAGGCCTGGAGGAATGTTTGTTCAAATCAGAGATTTGAATCCAAATCCAAATCCCTCTCCTCCCACCATCAAAC